CTATATATATCATTATTGTGATGGGGGGCCCTGCAGTAAGTCATAGCCCCGGGGCCCAGTGCGGTCTTAATGTGGACCTGTGTATATTTATTATGTATATATAAATACATACAAATGCATGTATATATTTAAGGAAAATATGTTATGTTTATATATTAAATATATTTATATATAATATAAATGATAGTAATATAAATATATACAAGTACATACATGTAAATATTTTCAAAATATATACTGTATGTGTGTCTTTATACATACATAATATATATACACAGTACACACACATATTATATAAACAAAAACTTTTGTGTGTGTGTGGGGGGGGGGGGGATTAATCACGATTACCCAGCACTACTTTTTACCCCTTTTTGTGCCTTTAAGAATGAGTATTTCACTCAGCATTGCTTTAGAATACTATAATCTAACCTCTGGAAACTTTTACTGTCATTTTACATACATTTTATAAGGCCAAAATTTGATTTTGATTGAATTTTAATTTGATGTTTCATTGTTCCCATTTACAGTTTAAGTGACATGAGATTACATCCGTAAACATAAGACTGTTACAAATCACTATCATCCTAAAATGACACTGCAAACACAAAAACCTCCTGCTCCTCTCGCCCTACGTCCGTGCCACACGGCCTTCCCACGCAGCAGGTGCTGTCCTCTCCACCTCTCTGCTCTGACCTGAGCCAGGACTGTTTGTTCCTCTTTCTATAACAGACTGTACACTGTCAACAGACCCCAGCCTAAAATGCTCTCATACGAAGATCACTAAAATCTAGAGACTCCTGGTGTAAGGAATATGACTCGCTCGACACCAATGCCACAAGTGCATTAATATGCTGATATACAGAAAGAGCCATGTGCTCATTAGAGATGAAATAGTTCCTTTAAACAGTTAGGTATATTTTTGTTCAACGTCTATAACACCCCCCCCTGAAAATATACAATGTGTATGAACTGGGAAATGTCCATTTTGAAGAGCAGTTATGCAAATTGTATGCATTTCTGAAAAAACAGGTGGAAAGAATTGAAAAGAAATTCCAAATGGAAAGAACGGAAAGAATGAACTTGCTCGAAGGTATGGGGTATTTACTATTTTTGGAAATAAATAATACTTTTATTCAGCTAGGAGGCAGACTGGTCAAAAGTAACAGCAAAGACAATCTATTTCAAATAAATGAACGTTATATTCATCAACGAATCCTCAAAAAGATTAAGCAGCACAACTGTTTTTAATATTAATAATAATAAGAAATGTTTCTTGATCACCAAATCAGCATTAGAGTGATTTCTGAAGAATCATGTGACATTGAAGACTGGAGTAATGATGCTGAAAATTCAGCTTTGCCATTCACAGGAATAAATGACATTTTAAAACATATTAAAATAGAAAACAGTCATTTTAAAATTTAATAATGTTTTATTGTATCACTGTTTTACAGTATTTTTGATCAAATAAAAGCAGTCTTGGTGACCATGAGAGACTTCTATTAAAAGTTTTAAAAGGTACTGTAGATGTGAATATAAATCTAAAAAAATAAAAACAAGCTGCATGGCGAGTTTGTGTAAAAACAAGAAAAAAAATGGTCACACTTTTTCGTTGATTCATTAACAAACCATTAACTACAATATTTGCTTTAATAAACTCCTAATTTTCAGTTTTTTTAATAGTTAGTAAGGTAGTTGTTAAGTTTAGGTATTGGGTAGGATTAGGGATGCAGAATATGGTCATGCAGAATATGTGCTTTATAAGTACTAATAAACAGCCAATATGTTAATAATAGCCATGCTAATAGGCAACTAGTTAATAGTGAGAACTGGTCCCTATACTAAAGTGTCACCAAAAAAAAAAAAAAAAAAAATTAAAAAGGAAACTTTGAAAAATAAACATTAATAATCAGGCCTACTCTGAATCAGCCTCAAAATGATATAATCTTGCATCCTAAATAACAATGTACAGAGTATAACCATGCAAACCAAACAATCAGCAATTTGAACCTTTATACACCTCTTAGTGTTTAAACCTGTCTTGGTCCCACTCGCCCACTTTCTCCCTCCACTTTCCTGTCTACACTGCACCGTCCGGAACGATACAAAAAAACAAAAACAAAAAACATACATTAAACAAATAAAATGCAGTTTGCATTAGGGGTGACAGAAAAGATTAATACCCACAGTGTAGTCTATGCTGCATGCTCTGTCTACAGTATGTCAGACATGCATTGTGAAAGCCTAATGGATAACGATGTGGGCTGCTTACACAAAGGTTATTAATTTGGTCTCAGTTAGGGGTGACCCAGTTAACTGGAGGGCTGCTAAGATCCCACCATGGTTCCTTTGAGCGAGGCATCGATTGCTGAATTTCTTCATCTATAACTTGACGTTATTACTGTGATTCGTGATTGTTTTGGCTTTTTATGGAAAAGCTGAAGCAGAATGAGAATCCATATACAAATCAGCCCTCAGCTCTGCCACAAGCAATTTTGTTTAAGTCAACAGGTATTGAGGATTCATTCAACCTTGCAAATAAACATTGGTGTTTAAGCTAAGCTTTTTTGAAAAGCATTCTGGCTGAAATGGGATGAGAAGCTGATTTGTACTTTAAACAACTGGTGTGGAAGAAAAACAAGCAGCGGAGATCTCCTCCTCAAACATGGTCTCTCTAGATTGTTTGTCCTTCTCCTACTGTGTCTGAGCAGCAGGGCCCAGG